AGTTTGTTGATAAGACCTATACGAGGTCGAAACTGTTAACCACTCTGGATAAGAAGACATTTTTAGAAAGCAAGACTATATAAAATTCAAGGAAAGTCATCAGCTCTACTTATATCATCGTGGAAAAATTCATCTACCAGTCCTTGATCGCCTTAAACGAAATTGGGTGAAAACAATCCATATAACTAGTATACTAGCCTAAAAAAGCATAAGCCAAAGAAATCTCTACAAATGTAACTCCAAAATTGCTTAAATAGAGCCAACTACTAGGAGGTTCCATGATAAAAATAGATGGTATACACTTACTGTACTACAAAAGAAAGAACAAATAATAGTAGATAATTGCAGAGATCATTACTTTCCCTCTATATTTGTAAACATAGGGCTATCCTCAAACAATATTTGTTAATAAGTCATCATTCATTATAACGGATATTTCACAATTATTTCTGCCAAACTATCCGAGCCAACTTGGAATGTGAAAAAAAACAACCTATATGTGATTATAGGAAATTAAAGTAATATACGATAACCTGCTGGGGCACGAAGAGTAGCAATCGATTTATTCATCTCTAGCTTTATTCGTCTACGTTCATCTCTTCTTATTCTTTGGCGTTCCAGAATTTCAGACCGATGAGGTTCAGGTATCACTCTTTCTAGGAATTCTCTATACATTCGATAGTCTCTGAGTTGTTCCTCATATTTACTGATATCCGCTCTAAGTTGCATTAATTGTAAATTAAGCCGCTTCACTTCTGCATTCAAGGTCATACGTTTTCTAGCCTCATGCTCAGCACTGAAAAGAAGAGAGAACGTGTCAGTATATTAACATATTTCGGATGTCACTAACCCTAGGGCTGAGACCACTTACAAGTTAGGCATAATTTGTTTAGCTTTTGTTGAATAAAACTTTACTGATAAATATTGCATGGAGTATCGTATTCTAGAGAGCTCAAGAACGGAAGCAGCGTTTATAGCTGCAGTTATATCAGCGACATGTCAATTTCTGAGCAATATTAAATGGGCACTCTTGTTTAACTATTGCTAGAATATAACGTTTTTTATAAGGAGTATGCTCGGAGTTGCACATCTATCCAATAATATATGCTAGTTAGCGTGTAAGTTTATACAGGGTGGATTTTAAATTTTATTGCTATCTAATTTTGTTTGAGGCTTTTCATTGAAGCTTGGAGTCATTCAATGCCATGATATTGCTGCGCTAGCATAATTTAATATTTTTATAGACAGGCACTTAGATAACTAAACGCTTTTGGTAGTAAAAATGTCAGATAACTCAACGATTGGCGTAAATTTACCTTGACAAGGTGATTTTTAGAGGACTACAAATCAGCTTTCACAATGCTGCCATCATAAAGCTCAAAAAACTAAATCTAGATGTTGTATCATATGAAATTCAAAATAAAAGTCTTACAGGTATTTACGCTCTTACCTTAACATCAAGATATACATTTTACAGCAAGATAATATGGCTATCCTAGCAAGAAGTAAAGTACTCTACATGTGCCGATTAGAAAGTAAGCATATTATTTATGTTTGATAAATCAATCAGATATTCTTTACTTAAATATATAAAATACTTATACTCTTTTAGTTTTAAAAATGGTCTTGTTGTTCATTCTATATATATTACAATAGGATATTTTTAAAAATGTATATATGTAATTTGTCCATTGGATTATAGGTTCATTGTAAAGCAACAAAAAGTCATTAAAGGGATGAATATTGGTTTGCAAATAATAAAAAAGTATTTAACTTAAATTCCTTAAGTAATAAAATAGAGCCGTTGTATATGTCTAAAAAGGATGAAGCAGCTTGTTTAATAATAAATAAAGGTCAATAAAAAATTGTGCAGAAAAGAAAATGATAAAAAGCACCAAATTGTAGTAGTTTGTTACAAAATTAATAACTCTGAGAATTTTGGATTAAATAAAATCAAGCAACTAAAAGTACATTATACTATGCTTAGCGAGTTAAAATCTGTATAAATACTTTGCTATGGCTTCCACAGAATTTCTATCATTTTCTTTCAAAAATTCATCAAACAAAGCAGCGTCTTGCTCCAGACACTGTTCAGCAATTTCTATCTTGCGTTCATCTGCCGCCGCAATTTCTTCTAGTTGTTTTATTTCAGCTTTTTTAACATTGATAGAATATTTTAATAAGAACATTTCGCGTTTATGTGAAATGTATTCAAAATAAGATTGTTTCTCCAATTTTCGCTCTTAAATTAAAACTACACACATACCTTTAGTTGCTTTAAGGATAAAATTCTCGAAAT